GGATATTGGGGCCGGTGACTGAAGAAGTACCCGCGTTAGGTCCTTGGCATACGCACAGACAATGACACAGGTGTACACTTGTGTACACAAACATCGAGTCTTGCCCCCGCCCACTTTCGTTTTGTATTAGCTATTCCCTACACGTACACTAGGCCTCTTTGAACATGCACTTGCCTGTGTGCAATCGATCCCTTGAAATACATACCCTCAAAATCAGGAAGACAGATGGATAGACAGACACACACACACACACGCTTTCAAAATCATATGCAGACTTTCAAATTTCAAGCACACTGTCATACACACAACCCTAAAACTACACACGCACACAAGAAACGAACATGCACAGGCCGACAGACAGACAGACAGACAGACAGACACACACACACACACACACACACACAGGCCCTCAGAAATACACACAGGTAGTACGCACTCTCAAAATCACACGCACACAGACATACACACAGAAGACACATATAGACAAGAAGCGGTCGTACAGACAGACATACCAGCCAACGTAGGCACAAGGAACACTGACACACACCACACAGACACACACTACACCCAAACACCCAAGAACACACGCAGACAAATGCGCGCGCGCGCACACACAGCACACGAAAACACGCACACTCGCCGCCCAGCGCCTGCCCCTCCCGCAGGACTCTGCCCCAGGACGCCGGGGCAAGGGGTGGAGCAAGGATGGCCAGCCCCCGGGCACCCTGCAGGCCTCGCTCCCCGGGGACACTCACCGGGCGGACCGAGATGACCGGGCGGGCCCCGCCCACGCGGAACCAGCAGCCAAACAGCGCAGCGACCATGGCGCTGTCTCTGCGGCTCTGCAAGCTCCTGCGGACACTAGGCAGCCGAGAGCGCGACCACCGAGGCGCGCTTGCGCAGTCCGCACTCGCAGGCCGCACGCCTAGTAGCCTTGATGGGGGGGTAGGGGGNGCTCCACTTACCCAGACTCATCCAATCCTAAAGCCACCTCCTAAGCTAGGTGTTACCATCATACCCATTTTACAGGTGAGGAAGCTGAGTCACAGAGTGGTGAGGGCAGCCAGCTAGGAAGCAGCCCATGTTCTTAGCTTTCCCAGGCTACTGGAGCACTCCCTCCCACTCCCGTCTCGCCTGCAGCAACACCAGGAAACAGGACCTGTCACTCCCCAGGCACGACAAAAATACTTTTATTTATTGTGCCTGTGAGATGAAATGAGAGGTCCTGACTGGACCTGGCCCTGTGGCCTCTGCCCTCTCATCCCAGGGGCTGCCTCCCTGGTGGGGGACCGGTCCAGACTCCAAGCTCAGGACAGGCCTGGGGCCTGGGCAGCGGTGAGCTCAAGGCAGGTGGTCAAGGAAGGCAAGGAGGACAAGGTGGAAGTCTTTCGGCTTGTGGAGGTAGCAGGCATGGCCTGCGTCCTGCAGCTTCACCACGGAGTGGTTGGGCAGGTGACGGAGCTGCCTCAGGGACTCCCGAGCCAGGACGCGGTCCAGTTCCCCGTACAGGATGAGAGTTGGGGTCTGCAGGGCAAGGCAAGGGGCTGTGATCCCGGGGCCTGACAGAGACTGGCCCTCAAGCCACCTCCTTAGGAAATCTTCCCCAAACAACCCATCTCTTCCATCCAGATCAAGGATGGGGCCATGTGTCCTCCAAGTGAGACCTGAGTCCTTTCCCCCCCATGACTTGAGCCATGATAGGAAGCCAGGACCTTTGGAGACCCTCCTGCCAGTACCTTCACGGCCCAGAATTGCTCCTGGGTGTAGTTCTGGGTGGAGGCAGGTGCGATAGGCACAAATCCGTGCAGCTGGTGGTGGCCTTGCATCAGGAAGGGCAGGGCATAGCGGCCGCTCAGCGAGGGGCTCACCAACACGGCATTCTGCACCTCCAGGTCCCGCAGCACGCGCTCCAGCAGCTCCGCCCGCCCTGCCTCTGTGCTTGCCTCCTTTGAGGGTGCTGAGTTCCCAAAACCTGGGAGCAGCAGGAGGCACCAGCTGAGGGAGGCTGGGAAGGGGCTCAGGACTTCCGCCCACCATGGTGGGGGAAAGAGATGGGGAGCAGCGGCACATGGCACATGCTGCCCCAAATGTCCCAGAAGCTGTTTTTTTGTAATGTGATAGGCCTGCTAGAAAAACCTCTTTCATTCATCATATAGGCAACAGTAAAAAAAAGACTGGTAATACGCACTATTGGAGAAGATGTGGGGAAATAGGTACTTTCTTACATGACTGGGATAAAGCCATAGCCAAGTGTTGTTGTTTTTTTTGGGGGGGGGTAAGGTAATAGTTGTCAAAATTCAAAAGATATCTGTCCTTGACCTATCAATTGTCCTTGGTAGCTACCCTACAGGAATTATTGCCCACATGCTCCAAGAAACATGTCCAAAAAAATGCTTCGGCTTCAATACTCAAACATTTCAACTAACACTGCAAACTAAATCAACCTACATATTCACCAGTGGAGGACTTGCCAGATAGAACCTGTTCATCCCTCCGATGTCGCATATGACAAAGAGGGAGGTTCATAGCGACTGGTATGATCCATGAGACATGGTATAGGGGGAGAAAAGCAAGTCGAAGACAGATTCGCTAAGCAGGCAGGACACCGGTGATGTTTACAAGCTACCACACAATCATGCGTATTGTCTGTATCTCTATGTGTGGAAATGCTCAAAAAGGGTCTGGCACCCCCAAACTGCTTAGAATGGTAAGAGGGAGAGAAATGTGTCATGGGTCTCTGAGGCATTACTCTTGTTTGATTTTTTTAATGACAAGAGTGAGTGATAGCATAAGTCATTTGTGCAGCTAAAAAAACAAAAAGCTCCCCCAGTTTGTCATAAAAAGTACAGTGACTCTCCCCATGAAGTCACAGTGAAGTGAGTCACGTTTCCATCTGCTCTGTGACGTGCAATAATCCACACTGTCGTTTACAAGGTAGAAAGTAAAGACACAGACCTTCTCGTGTTGCCTTCTTCTGTTGCGACCTGCCACTGTTTGTCCAGACACTGGTGTCCAGAAGCCCCCCAGTCACATCTTAGGGTTTTCCTACCCCTCCGATTCCCCCTTCTGGGAAACTGCCCCCTTGTACCTGCTGCAGGCTTCCTCCCCAGACCCAGGGGTGGGGGCTCTCACCTGGGAGGTCAAGGGCCACGGCCCGGTAGCCCCTCTGTGCCAGCAGCTGTAGTGTGCCCAGCTGCTCCCACGTGTGGGAGTTAAAGGCTCTTCCATGGAGCAGCACCACCTGCACCCTGTGGGCACACAGGGGAGTGTGGGTCCTGAGGGTCTGGCAGCGGGCCCACCTTCTTCCTAGGCTTATCCCACTGCCCTCCCAGGCCCTGAGCACCCTCAGTTGAGCTGGGGTCCCACATGGGGACTCCCCTCAGGCCTAGTCTTTCCACTATACCCTAGGGTCAGCACCCACCTTCGTGCCCGGTGTAGTGGGAGCACCTCGCGGTAAAAGATGGGGGAGTTGCCAGGGGTGAGACCAGCCAGGATTGTGACATTGGGGTCTCCCCAGAGCCAGGAGGTCTGCTCAGGGGGGCCTGGCAGCCCCACATACAGTAGCAGCATGAGCAGCAGGCCCAGGCCCAGCAGGGCTACCTGGGACCGGCTCATGGAGGTCTGTACCACAGTCTGGAGGAGGAGAGGAGAGGAGAGGAAGAAGAGGCTGGGGCTGAGCCCCGACGGGGCCCCCTGGGCCCTATCCCCAAAGCCCATCCGGAAGCCCCCAGCAGAGAACAAGCTCAGCCCTTGCCGTTTCCCCTGCTCTGGGCAAGGGTCTGAGGGCTCACACCCAGCTACTCCACATGCCAGGGCAAGGGCTCAGGTACCCCGCAGCGTGAGAAGGAGCATCTGAGCTGTCCCCTGGCACCCAGCATGCTCAGTGACCAATACCATCATTGTGCCAGCTAATACCACTTCTGTTCACCGGGTGCTCTGACAGCCAAGCCCTGAGCTTGGCCCTTCACATGCAAGGGCTCATGAATTCACACAGCAACACTGGGGAGCAGATACGATTATAGGTCTCTTACAGGGGAGGGAACTGAGGCTCAGAGAAGTAATTCTCCTGCCCGAAGTGCAATAAGCAAGTAGGGGAACTGGGATTTGAACCCAGGGATGGGCTCCTCACCACTAGGCCACGCTCAGTTTGCCAAGGGAGAAAGCATGGGGCTGAAGTGACGGATGAACTGGAGCCTTGCTGATGGACAGAGTGGTGAGTGCTGTCAAAGGCGAGACTGTGTATAAAGAGACATCTTGTTGAGGGCGTGTTTGGAAATGGTTCTTTTTATCACATTGCCTATAATAATGTTAAAATCAGAATGTGTTTGACAACCGATGGGAATATTTAATGCTCCACCCCAGCTGATATTAAGTGGGAGGAGGGCTCACGGAGAATCTGTGAAGGGGGAAAGCCGAGGCATGAGGGGGTGTGGGACCAGGGAGAATGGCACCTTAGAAATGGAAAGGGCAGCATGGAGGCTGGAGAGATGAATGCCACCCGCCAGCTTCATGGCAAGTGACCTGCTCATGGACTTCTCCAGTCTGGATCCTTTGCCAGCCCGGAAGACAGACCTCAGGACCCAGAGCCCAGACATAGCAGTTAGCCCTGGCTTTGAGATTCTGCTCTGCCACTTCCTGGCCGTGGGCCTTTAGTTTGTCAGTAAAATGGGGAGAAGGATAACCTTGAGGCTGCCCTCCCAAGCCTCCTGTGAGATTT